CCAAACTTGAGGACTATATTTGGAAAAGGCAATACTAATAGCTACATTCTTGGTTAGATACATGGATGACTATTTTGGCATCTGGCCTGATGGTAAGGAAAATTTAGATAGTTTCCTACTTTCATTTAACCAACGTGGAAGAAACATTCGATTCACGATGGAAATAGAAGGGGATAGGTCCTTATCCTCCTCGGATGCTCCGATCATTAGAGAAAAGGGTAAATTAGGAAGGGATTTTTAAAGGAAACCAAAATATGTTGGCTGTTGTCTGCATTTTCTGTCCAACCATAGTTACAAAGATAAGGTAGGAATTTTGAAATCAATAATTATTAGGAGTATAAAACTAGCGGATGGCAACCCTTTGACTGAAGAGTTGTAATGGCTGAAAAATTTATTCCAGAAAAATAATCACCCTTAAGTCTAATTGTTACTAATATCTCTTCACTGAGGAATAAATTTTCTGAAAGCGGAAACTTCTTCTCATGTTTTAATTTTGCTGTCATACCTACTTACAAAAAGGATAGGCGAACTAATGAGAAAGTGGGGATAAAACAATGTCCAGAGAGCCCCTCACACTTTCATTGGTTATAGTATCTGTTAGAGAGAAATGTGACCCATTATCAAGATGTGTGCTCCTGTGGTCTATCTTATGCTGATGAGACATGCAGGCCCATTCGACAAAGACCAGAGAAACATAAAAATGGTTTTAAATGAGGCTGGGCCCAACAGTCAGAAATGACTAAACACTTGGCAAAGACTGGACATGAGATAGAATGGTCTCGAACGAGTAGATTTTTTGATTTTGGTACTTCTACTGTTAAAGGGAAGATAAAAGAGGCTATTGAAATGAATAGATTATGAACGCTGGTAGAAAGTTAAGAAAGAACTATTTACGAGACTAGCGGTAAATTTGATATACGAGTTATGTTCACCCTATTTCGTTTAAGGTTATTAAGAACTGGTAGTTGATTTTTCCCACAATGATATGTGTGGAGCTGACGTTTATATTGAATTTCATATAGCCTTGCCTTCCGGAAAGGTGTTCTTATCCAATATAGACTGAAGTTTCGACCTCGCATAGGTCTTATCAACACCCCAAGCGGCAGTCACACTCCCAACACAGAATGTGATATATATAATTCTTGACATTCCTTTGAATTTACATCTGTCCAGTCACCCAAGGGCATTCGTGGCGATGTGGTGTAGTGGATAATGTATTGAGCTTACACTCTTAATTTAAAACATTTTTATGTTCCTCTGATCTTTGTCGAATGGGACTGCATGTCTCATCAATATAAAGTAGGCCACAGAGCACACAATCTTGTAGCAGCTGGATCTCGATAATGGGTCCCATTTCTCTCTAAAATATAGAATAAACAATGAACGTGTTGGAGTTTCTTTGAGCATTGTTTTTATCCCCTCCCTTTCTCACTAGTCCACCTATCCATTTTGAAAGAAGGCATGACGGCAAAGTAAAAACATGAGAAAAGGTATCCTCTTGTTTTCTTTACTTCATAGTCTTTGTCAGAAAATGTATTACTCAGTAAAGAGATATTATTAACGATTAGCCTCAAAGGACAGATTGAAGAAGAGAGAGGGTGTTGCGCCTCCACCCTAATGAAGTCGACTCAACTTGTCCGTTCAGTGATGCTTCTAACTGCACTTAAACTCGTCCAACATGTTAGATGAAGTTCATCTACCAACCCAGACGTGTCAGATTACGCCTTTCCCTGGGTGGTTAAGTGCTAATGACCCAAGACTGAGAGGTTAGGATAAGTGGTTGCGTAACCTGACTTTCACACTTAGGACAGAGTTTATTCTTGGGTCATTAAGCCTTGCTGACCAGAGCCTTTTTTGATCACTGTGATTTAGGAAAGGTATCGCGTATGAACATTAGCACGCGCACACACTCGAGCAAAAGTAGCAGGACCAATATGAAAGATAATTAGCTAAACCTTCCTATTTCTTTTTAGTGTTGGTTCGACCTTGTCTTCGCAACTTGGTCGGGGAGTCAGGGAGACCTTGTGGAATGTACCTAGTCCTGTTCCTCTGTCATATTATTCATGATTTCCAGCATTGGACCATTGGCTGAGTACATTTCCAAACGTTTCGCCGGCATCGTAGTCGGCATCGTCAGTGAGAGGCGTCATCGAAAGCATAGAGTTACAACCTGTCACTTTGATCAGTTGTAACTCTGTGCTTACGATAGCGAGTTTCACTGACGATGCCGACTACGATGCCGGCAAAACGTTTGGAAATGTACCCAGGCAATGGTCCAATGCTGGAAATCATGAATAGTATGGTAGATGACACAGGACTAGGTACTTTCCACAAGGTTTTTTAGTTATGAATAGATATAAGAAGTAAGATATAGACTTACAGTCTTCTGGACATTGTATTAACGTGAAACTTTTATAAGAATAAGTTCTAGCTTTGATAATGCTTATCATATGGTGGACGAAGACTCAGCCGGTTTTCACCCGGAGCGAAGGAAGATGCCCCGTGATCTTCGTCAACCTGAGCGTCAAATTAAAACTAAACTGCTGCAGTGCAACGTGGATTAGCCATTGTCTCCTGATGCGATAAACCTACAAATATTTTCATCGTGCATTTTCACGCGGAATGTAGGTCTTCCCAACAATGTGATCTCTAGAGATTCAACGAAACAAATTTACTCCCTGATTCTTGCCAGTACATTAAAAAAATTTAGGAACCCTATTTTCATGGTTTGCAAAGTTATGACTTCTCTCACAGTAGAGCCTAAATCATCGTTACATCCTGACGCAAATGGACGATCATACATTCGGGCGATATATTCCAACATAAAAACCTTATCAATTCGCCAAGCAGTAGCCTTCTGTCTTGTGAAATTATGATAGTGTAAATGTTGGTGTATCCTATATTTCGTTTGAGTGAGTTTTGTTTTCCTGTACTATTGTAGATGTGGGTAAGACCTGTCTACCTCTACATAAGAGGTTATCTAGGCATAGAACCGAATGAAAAGGATTCTGGGTGCAACAATTAAAACTTTCCGAACGAATGGCGTCCACAGGACACTAGATAGACTGGCCTAAAGCCAAACGTTAGTGGGATATGGAAATTGTAACTGGTTGATAGGATCCGTAGAAATCAAATAAACTGTCACCAACCCGAAAAGAGATAACGAGCATTGGAGATTAAGCAGAAACCATTTGCGACGGATTTGGAAGAGAGAGAAAGGGAAATAAAAGTACCGCCAAGCAAGAGGAGTCTTGATTAGCCACAAATCTAGTTAGCACACACATTCCTCACACGATACATGAGTATTTCAGGCAATGGGATGCGATTAAATGCGTCGACAATGCAAAATCAAGAATAAAATTAATTCAGGTGACGATACAGCTGTTTAGTTATAGCTTTATCCACTTCACTTTTCTGCAGGCTTGCAGGGAAAGTACAGAATTGCTTATCAGATCATAAGATTTTCAATTAAATGGACAGGTTATAAGCAATGGGCATGATTGTAGCAGCCCTCTATTCTTGTCTTTAAGCTTGGTGAATAATTGTAAAATATGGTGACCTTTTTTAAAGAATCCGACCACATGAAAAACGATTCATCGGAGTTGCGGGACAGTGTGTTGAGAAAATATTTGCACACATCTACATCCACAATTTCGGTGTGGCAATTTTACGACACCTTCCATTCTCCTCTTCAAACGAAAGGAAAGGTATGTCAGGATAAAGAAATTGAGAAATTCTTCGAAACCTATAACTCTTATTCATATCTATGGTATTGCAGACCGTAAATTCAGAAAAACCATTCAAGCAGATCAAGACCGTGCTAAATCTCATCCTCAATTTTCCTCTCCTCAACCAAGGTGCAACCGACACCATTCGGCAATACTTATAGTATGAATCATGGCAACACATGTAACAGCATCCGGCGGAAGCGTCTCAAATCCGGTCTAGCCAAGTCATCCGGCCGTCTGGTGAACAGCAGGCCTACAGATGGGCTCTCTTCACCATACAGCTCTTCCTACCCGGCCGCCGATCACATGCTGCTACCAGGTTTGCTGAATGGCAAACCGTGCCACAATTTCAGTCCACTATTTAACACAATGATGAACCAGACTAAGCCAGCAGTAGAGGCTCGTGATCAGGCCCCAAAACTACTTATACCACGGCAGATGAGTAACCGTGGTAGCACAATAATTCGATGGGCAGGAATTCTTCTTGTTGTGTCGGGTCTGGGTTGCGTTGGCCTCGTCCTGCTTCTATGCCTTGTTGTCCTACTTCCAGCCTTCTTAGCCAACGGGGGTCTCTCAGAGCGCTCTCGCAGTCTGGGTTCGTTGTCTATTGCCCCAGATTCCGACGGAGGCGGAGGAACAGTGCCACGCTGTTTCACTTGCGACAATTACGCCAGTCTGTCGGCCAGTAAGCCTGTGAAGCCCGGTTCAGCTTCTGGGCTGGCAGTGTTGGGTGGGAAACCGGTAGCTGGCGGGCATGTTAGACTTTCAAAGGGCTATCAACCGGACAAAGGCGTCTACAATGAGAATACACCTCGCTTAGACAGCATAGAGGGTAAGTCAAGAACACATATTAAGTTTCGATACCTTGAGTTGGTATTTTGTTTAAATTGTTTCCAATGCATGCATTAAGTAGTATATTTTAATGCATAGCTATGAAGACCAAGATAGCGTGGTCTTTTGCTTGGTCGCGGTCTCCTGTAGTTGTATGGTGTTGACATGTCCTCGTTTCCGAACTCTGTGGAACGTGGTGAAGGTGATTATGCTTCACTAAATCCACTTGAAGCGACGCACTCTCAGGCGACATTGGAAGAAACGAGAATAATACACAATGGTGTGAATAGGTAAACGGGCGATATAAAGTGGGTTTGAGAGAAGAAGATGCAGCACAAGAAGGTAGGATAAAAATGGGGATGAGGATGGATACCACGACGGTTGAACAGAAAATTTGTCAAAGAGATTGCCTTAACTTGTCAGTTTAATAAGGGCTAACGATGACGCTCTCACTGACGATGCCGGTAAAACGTCTATAAAAGCACCAAGTCAACGGTCTGATGCAGGAAATCACGAGAAGTACCAAAGAAGAGGATGCAGGACTAGGTAGTTTCCACCAGGTCTCCTTGTCGCTCGGACAAAGTTGCGAAAACAAGTTCAAACCAAAAGTATTTTTCACAATAAAGAATATTTTCCTCTTCGTCCGTCTCATTTATGAATATCCAAACCAGAGCTTGGAAAAAGCAAAAATAATTAGACAAATTCTGTCGTAAATAGATTATAATTTGCGGATTTTTTGACCAAATAGTAGTCCGAATGAAGTAAACATTCGCTTTCCTCTTTGTTTGGCCATTACTAGAGATAAGAAACTTAAACATTAGTTTCAAGTCCTACCTAATGAAATTAAAATTCAGCTAAGGCCGGAAATCTACACTTTTTCACAGTCTTACGAATAACTGCTATGTAGATACGAAGATAAACTGGGTTTCGATGAATATCTTGAGATAACATTGTTAGGGGGACTTTCAGTTCGCATGAAAGTGAATGAAGCAGAGATTCTTTGGTCGATCTCACCAGATGAGGACGAATGAATCTCATTTGGCTTTTATACGATATTCATTTTGACGCAGTCCACAAAACTTCTTT